TATATATATATATATATATATTTATCAAATGTCACGTGTTACAAAAAGTGATGATTCATATAAATAACATATAATCTCGCATTAATTAGGATTGTTATCAAGAAAGATTTGTCAAATGTTAAGAAGATTTGTCGAATCCTATTTTATAAATACGTAATTCAACAAAAATCTTTCCTTAAAAAAATTGGTCAAATATATGTTTCAGTAACATATATCTTCATTTTATAAAAATAAACTGTATATATCTGGATCAGCTTATATGCACATCGATTACTTCAATAGGATCTTGAAGTTAACAGCGAAAAAACCGAAGGGACTCAAATTAATGGTCACTAGTGAAAAAACCCAATGTCTTATCAGTTGATCGAGCTACCACTATGGCGTATGACCACGGCTCAAAAGTTGTAGCCGTTATGGTCTTAGCTTGAGGCTTGCAGCTAAAGGGCAGGACTACAACTTGTAAGATTCCGAGCTCTCATTTTGTTAACCGATATAGTGGTATGTTGCATGACATGACATTACAGTTTCTTGGTTGACGTTATGCCGAAAAGGAACAACTCTTTTGTTTTATGGTTCTTCCGATGAAATCATTACGTCTTCGTTCGTTTTGTTTTTCACCTATATTTACCGTAGTATCTTCTCATCCTTTTTCATATTTTGGGAACACGTGCGATATCCAACTACATCTTAATATATTCAACCTTGATTGTAATGAAGTTATTATCGATTGCAAGAAAATCAAAGCTTTACCTTTCAGAAGTGATTTGTGTCACTAAAACAAACTTTGTGTAAATGCTTTTAATCTCTTCTTAGACTTTCACTAAAACGTCCATAAGATTTGAGATACATACAAGGGTTAAGGGAATTTAGGGTATCTGTCTAGGGACGGACCCATTAAAAAAAAATTCAAACAGTGGCACCATTTAATTATAAGAAATAAATATATGGATATTTTTCACAAAATCATAATTGGTCTAATGGTTAGTTCATTGTCCTTCATATGTGAAGTTATATGTTCAAGTCTTCTATTGCAAAAAAAACTCAGGAAGTTAATAAATCTAAAACTAAAAGCTAAAAACTAAGAAAATGACACTAAATGGATTAGAACTTGAGTTTCCAGTAGAATAAAAGTTTTGCAAACTAACTATACAAAAGAAACATGTGTTCTCATTGTAGTTTCAAAATATATACGGTGGCACACAACAAATTGATACAGTGACACACAACAAATTTACACTATGACGGAGGAAAGAAACGGTAGCATATGCCACCTATGGCACCCCTCTGGGTCCGTCCTAACCATCATCGGTACAGTCTTCATGTGCCATATACCAACGAGTAAAAAACATGTGGTCCAGATCGATCTTTACCTTGATCTTGATATTGTGTTCGATTTTGGAATTCCATCAATTACTCGTCTATCAAAAAAAAAGCGAATTTGGCCAATTTTCCCTGGGGCTAACAATTATTAACGGTCTTTAGCTTTGTCTTGTTTTAGATTAAATTAAATACTTCGTTAGAGGGAAAAACTCATGAGAAACGCAAAAAGGGTAAAAGAATTCGATACGTATCATTGTATCTATGAAATCGAGTATAGAATTATGTTTACTCGATTCTAAAGCAAAATCACATGTGATACAACACGTCTAGAATGACGTGTTCAACAGAGTTCACATGAAAAGTTGCACGTGCAATGCTCGTCAACCTACGAGTTTATAGTGCACGAAAACAGAAGATAACAAGGATGAATTCTAAAATAGCATATAACTTGAATTCATCCAAAACCAATGAGCCTCAGAATATTATGGATGCATGAGAACAAAATGTACACTGTATGAAGCACCAACAACAACAATCTTTTCCCTAAAATACAATAAACTCCTCTTCCAGTAATTAAAACAAAAAGAAAAACAACAATCTTAATAATACACCACCACCACCACCTTATAACAATCAGCTGCAAATCTGTTTAACACTTCGTGAAACCCGCACACCAAATAGCCCGATTACGCTTCTTGCTTCTACTTAGAATCTGTTTTTTTATATCCTCTGGGAGCATCCAGTTGTGATCTTGGGAGTTTTGTGTTATGAAAACTAATCAGCCAAGCAAATCACTGAATAAGTTAGGATTCTGGCTTGTTGGGTTTACCCCCATCTGTCTCACAAGTGCATCTTTGTTCAGAGCATCTTTCAGACTTGGACCCTTGGTTAACGACGCCGTTCGTTTGGTTGTATTCTCTGAACTAGGATCATCTTTCTCGTTCAATATCGTATTCTGGTTCAGATTCTGCCCATTTTCGGAATAAAGGGACATAAGATCAGGACCATTAGAAGGAGTAGCAGTGATACCATCTTCGCTCATATCAAGAAGACCTTCCAGTTGTTTAAATGGATCAATGACAGAAGATGAACTACTCATGGTGCCAGTTGGTTCAGCTAAATCGAGCAAGTCAGGAGGCGGCGGCTGAACCACTGTGGTTGTGGGCCGCACTTTCTCCTCCGTGTGATTACTCACTCTTGAAACCTTACTATGACCACCACCACCGGCGGCGGTACCACCAGATTGCTTCTTTTCAGACCTTGAAGATGTACCCCCAAACAAAGAAGCAGCAAGTTTTTGCTTTTCTTCAGAAACCTCAACATGTGGCTGCCTTCTTGAAGAAGAATCGTAAGAAGATGATTCACGGGATTTAGATACCACAGTATCGGGTTGTGTTGCGCCACTAACTGTAGTCCTATGGGAATCCGAGTTTGAGGTGGATGATGAGGCAGCAGATGAGTACGTGGGTTTACCCCACTTCTTTTGAACCCCATCAAGCCGTAACTTGAGTCCAGTCGAGCCTGCATCAGATACAGGTCCCAAAGACGCAATGGGTTGAACATCTCGTTGATAAGATGGCTCGGGTAGGGGTACAAGTTCAGTTGGATAAGAAATTGGTGCGGGTATCCCAATAGGAATGACGGGTTTTGGAACCTCGTAAGCCTCAAATCTAAGAGAATGACTCGAAGTATCATACTGGTTTTGGTTTCCCATGTTGCTGATACTTAGAGTTCCAGACCGTTCATGCTCGGGGATATATGGTTCAGCTCCTTCTTCTAATGACTTGTGGACATAACTATCAAGGAACGAAAGGCTCTTATCAATCTGCATGGAAACAGATCCAAATGTCTTCAAATTCTTGACAGTAAACCATTATAATGAAATAGACGACAGAAATTATATATAGCAAATTTATCAAACTTAGATTAACTTGAAATATATTAAACCTCAGATTCACAGAAAAAGAAAGTTTGACTATGATGTAGGTTTGATGTTACAGAGGGGAATAAGCCATAGAACCCTCATCTTGGACAACCAGATGACAGGTGCAGAAAATGTGAACTTCAGAAACTATGCAAATGGGCATATTCAAAAGGCAACCTTATGAAAGTGGACCTTGGGGAGGACCTTATTGGGTTTGTTTACACATTATATTGTGAATTTAGGGTCCGCTTGGATTTCATGGAGGGATTTTAATTTGGAGGAATTTGGATTGGAATGGATTTGAAACCATTGGTGTGTTTCATTTGTAGGATTTGGAATGGAATTGGATTCCATTTTTTATAAATAATCATAAAAATAATTAAATTACATTTTTATAAATTGCTTTTTACAAAACTAATGTTTTTACCATTTTTAAAATCTTATTTCACACAATCCTACGAAATCCCATGAAATCCAGAGAATCTAAGGATTTTCAAAATCCTATATTTGTAGGATTTCAAAATCCTATGTTTGTAGGATTTCAATAGGATTTCAAATCCGAACAATCCAACAAACCAAACATGGGATTGGAATGGATTTAAAATCCAAATCCCCTCAAATCCATTCCATTCCTGCAAACCAAACGGGACCTTAGGGTTCTAGCTACCCAGGGAATAGCCAAATGGTTCAGCTAAACAGATCTAATAGTTAACCAAAGGGAGAACAGGCATATCCATTTAAAATACAGAACATATTAAAACACTACTATTATCAATATAGTTATTTAAATAAAATACCAACTATGAATATATATATATATATATATATAGGTGGAGGTTCAAAGGAGAACGCCTCCATTTTACGAGAACGTGAGAACACCCTTATCACATGTGATAATACGCGTGAGGGAACCTGGTGGTATGCAGAAGACGTGTTCTACGACTTAGGTCGCGCCAAAGGTTGCCTGCGTCTATGATTTAGCATAACACATGATGGTCTTGATGGATTATAGTATCATATCAACAACACCCTTATCACATGTGAGGGGGCGTAGTGGTGTAAGGGCGACTTGGCCCGCGACCAAGATCACGTCGAAAATCTCCCGCATCTCTTATTTAGTATCACGTGTATCATATTCATATGTGATGGAATAATATATTACATCATTTTTACTAGATTTCCACATCTCATTTAGCAGCCAACTTCTCAGTTTTGTTTCTTCTCTCTCTTCAGTTCTATTTGATTCTTTTGCTCCACTTAACTTACTATGACTACTTTATGGATGGAAACCGTAGGATTTCTTGGGTATTTTGTAAGAATTTTTATTCCTTGCAAAAGACTTGATTTTGTGCGTGCATGATTGCTTCATATTTTTACAAGTACTAAATTCTAAAAAGGATGTCAATTAAAGTATGTTTTGCTGCACCAAAAAAAATTAGCAGAATAGTTCATAATAACAATTTTATGCTATCACCAATAAGAAAAGCAAAATAGTAGCAAGAAATTTTTACAGCTTTGTTTCTGCTACTATTACTCCTGTTGCTGCAGCGTCGCTGCTTGATCGGCGGGGAGGAGCATCTCAAAGTATGGGGCAAAGGATCAAAGGCTTTTACTTTGTCACCCGGGATCACGACTATGGCAGGGCGGTACGCTCTGCTCTCTCGCTACCCCTACTCTAATCAAAAGACTAAAGGCCCCTAAAACTGTCTATAAGGCTAATTTAGCCTAGGGAAAAGGCTCGTTAACTAGCCCTGACGTAATTTTTCTCATTTCAAATCGATATTCTTATCGAAGAGAAAGAACGAAAAAACCCAATTACCTAGCCCGGTAGGTGGAGGAAAAAGGCGGAGAACAACTAAAAAACAGTAGCAAATTAGTTTCTAACTAATTTCATAAATCTAAAACGACCATTTTGTGATGGCCTGTTCTTATGCTTTCTACATAACATGTAATTTGCTAAATTTCACCCGAGTTTTTCCAAAAAAAAGTACTCCTAACGGATCCCTTCCTAGCGAAAGGTGTGCTCTAATGAAAAGTACACAACACAACAAAATGTGTTGTGTACTTCTTGTTGGAGCACGCCTTTGATGATCAAATGTCAAATTCTGATTAAATGATATGGTGAATGGTAATCTGTGTTGGACATGTTTTTCATTAAAAAACTAAGCTTGCCATAAACAAGATGGAAATTGACGAATTAGTAGAAGTAAAGATAAGCAACTGGAAAAAGGAAAGATGAAAATTTATTATTTAATAGACGCTAGACACACACATATATACATATATTACATATACATGTGTGTAAGTATGTATACATATACACATGTACAATATGTAATTCAGATAATGTATATAAAAAGATGTTTTAACATTAAATCATCATCAGATAAGAATCATCAAATTGACAAGATATTGACCACTAACATTAAACCTCGAGCCCAAAGAAAAGGTCATCAAGGAGAAGATGACAAGTGAGATGAAGATCTTGATCCCATCTTTTGTGCAGTATATTAGCTGAAAATATGTTTACTAGACTAGGATTTCATTCAAAGTACAAGGGATGAAGACGTTATTTTTTTATTCATTAACAAAGGCTCGAAAAATCATTGTGTGTCTCATTTTAATGAACACCAAGGCACATCTCATTAAAGCCAATAAGCCTGAACCAAGGTCAGGCCACAAAGTTGCATCTCAATGAGTCTTGCGCCTCGGTACTCCCTTCACAACTATGGGTGATGGAATAGATCGAAATCCTATAAATTAATGGTGTTCTGATTACTCATGCTAAACCTCTAAAGACAACTGATGTCGTATACCAACCCCACACATAAGTCATCTTGAGATTGGGGTTCAAGCCATTTTAAGATGGCAATAGAAAAGACACTAATGTCTTTATCCAAAAAAGAAAAATTACTAATGTGCATGTTCAGGGGAGCGCGTGTGTTGAGAAAATAAAAATATGCTTGTATAAATGCTCCTTCAATGAAAATAAAAGGCAATCAGCAATCAATAATTTAACCACGGAATACGATATCATGCTAAGCCAAAAAGCACACAAAACATGTTAGAAATAACAGTTTATATGCACAAAAGATCACCTCAATGTCTTCACAGCTTGCATCTAATGGCATTATATTCTCTATGGCATTGGCGTCGAGATCAAGGATTGCCTGGAACTCATATGCACGTTGCTGGAGATCAGATGAGTGAGATGCAGACAATTCCTCTAGCAAAGACTGGCACTACAACGAGAGAAAAAAACTCAACCTCGATGTCCCACAAAATTGTATATTGAGAATAAACAGTTGAAGATATATAGCCTTGGAGAAAAAAAATTAAAAACCCGATCAGGTATTATTGGCAGTGAAAAATGATATGAGAATTGATAGATACTGACCTCTGGTAGCAAATTGAATTTTCTTCCAGCTGCTTTTTCGAAAGAATATACTTTCATAAGTGCTGTCACTGCATATGCCTTCAAAAATAAGCAGAAAATTGAAGCTCGTTATACTCGCAAAAAAACGTTCACTCTGCAGTGAATAACATCAGGTAGAAGTTTCAAATTTTGGGAACATAGGAAACAAGAGGGAACAAAGACAAATTATAGCACAACCACTAGGCTCTAACTAAATAAAAATCAACCCCCTTCCCCAACCATAGTGGTTATGGTGCCACGACAAGTCATGATAGGAGCAACCTGCCAGGACGTCATGTGGACAAGGTGACCATCATGGACACCAAAAGGCAACAATTCATTCACAATATGTAATTTACAGGGTATTTAGGGTTTGTTTGTTAGCAGCTTAATGGGACTCGCAGCTTATTCAGTAAGTATATATGACTGTTTGGTATTGGCTTAATAATGTAAAAAGTGGCTTATTCAGAAAGCTTCTAGGGGGGAGCTTCATGCAGAAAGGCAGAAAAATTCCAAACCTGCCCCCTCCAATTAAAGAACACGCTCCTTCGATTTACGAAAAAGCCCCAAACAAAAACATTCCCAATCTATACAGACAGATTAATCTACAGAGACAACTTTTTCCATACAGGACTTAATAGAAAACCAACCAAACAGCCCCCTAATTCCTTCAGAAGTATATTGACCAATTATTACGGAGATTACATCTTTGCACGAAAAGCAACTGCAATGACTTAGCATCTGACACAAAACGTAGTTAGATATAACTAAAACAGTTTAACAAACCAAAGGGCCTTTGGCCTAGCGATATCGTAGCATTTGGCCTCCTAAGAGGCCAGAGGTTCAAACCTCACCTAAGGTGAGGAGGGTGTGTTAGTTTATTTGTTGCTTTTGTCGTATATAAATGTGGAATTGATACAGTGAATATAATCCCTCATTTCTTGGGATTATTTTTCCTTTTGTAAATTTGGTAGATATTTGTATAGTTCGGTAAATTTCCTTGTATGTTATCAAATCCCATTAATTATGGGATTCTAGTTAGGTCTCTAAGTTGTATAAATACCCCTTTTGTTTTTCAATAAGAATAACAACATATTTTCTTTGAAATTACATGGTATCAGAGCTACAAAGATATATGTTTTAACAACTTATTTGCTGTTAATAATCAAAACCAATAACCGAGGTTCAACATGTCGGAGTTCGAATCGAACTCCACCGTCACATCTACCGATCGATCAACACCAGTAGTTGACTACTCTCAATCACCGAAGCAAATCACTGTGCATCGTTTGAATGGGAAAAACCATCTAGAATGGTCACAATCTGTGAAACTCGCCATTGATGGTCGAGGTAAGTTGGGCTTCCTGACTACTCAAACTTCAAAATCAGTCTCATTTGATCCAGGATACCGTAAATGGTGTTCTGAGAATTCTTTAGTAACTGTGTGGCTACTCAATTCAATGGACATGTCCATTGCTAAGCCACATATGTTCATGAAAACCGCCAAGGAAGTGTGGGACTCTGCTCGAGCGACATATTCAGACTTCGAGAATTCTTCCCAAATCTTTGAAATTAAAACACATATGTGGCAAGCCAAACAAGATAACCGTGATGTTAACTCTTACTATAATGAGATGGTAGCATTATGGCAAGAATTGGATCAATGCCACGATGATGTGTGGGAGAGTTTTGCAAATTGTACTCGGCAGAAGAAGAAAGAGGAGAATGACCGTGTGTTCATGTTTCTGGTTGGTGTTCACCCAAGTCTCGATGAAGTTAAAAGAAGAATTCTTGGCCGACAGCCTCTTCCATCCATCCGAGAAGTTCTTTTAGAAGTAAGACTTGAAGAAAGCCGAAGAAAAGTAATGACGAACGGGATCCAACCGACTGATGTCGGGGACACAGCCGCCCTACTTGTCCGTGGCATAGAACAAGGGGGTGATACAAAAAAGAAACCTTATTGTGACCATTGTAAGAGGTTTTGGCACACTCGGGACAAGTGTTGGAAGCTTCATGGCAAGCCGACTGGAAGAGTAAGTCTGAAAGAGCCCTACACACCACAGTTGAAACGACTCAAGACACTCAAATCCAACCAGGGCAGTCTCAATTCACAAAGGATCAAATGGAGCAGCTCCTAAAATTACTTAAAAAAACCAGACCTATGTCTTCTTCTGCTGACCCATCCTGTGCCTATGTGCAATATGGTAAAAACACCCCTTCGTCTAACTATTCATCTTCTCATATGTGCTTACAAAATACATCAGCCTGGATCATTGATTCAGGGGAATCTGACCACATGACTTCTTGTTCAAATCTCTTCAATTCTTATAAGCCTTGTGCAGGAAATAGAAAAGTACGAATTGTTGATGGCACTTTTTCTACAATTGCAGGAGTTGGTGATATAAAGATATCATCAAACTTCATTCTTTCTAATGTCCCACATGTTCCAAAACTCTTGTAATCTGATCTCTGTTCATAAACTCCCTGCTGACCTCAATTGTCGTGCTTTGTTCTTTCCTTCCTTTTGCATTTTTCAAGACCTGGACTCGGGGAGGATGATTGGACGTGTTGATGAATGTGGTGGACTCTACATTCTAGATGAGGGAATCCACTCTAATGGAAGAGTAATAATGAGATTTATTTATGGCACTTTAGGCTTGGACATCCAAGTTTCTTTTATTTAAAACATTTGTTTCCTGTGTTATTTGGTAATAAAAATCCCTCATCCTTTCAATGTAAGATTTGTACGTTAACAAAACTACACAAAAGTACGTATCATCCACAATCATATAAACCATCTATGCCTTTTGCTTTGATGCATAGTGACATATGGGGGTCCTTCTAAGGTCACTACGTGTCATGGGAATAGATGGTTTATTACCTTCATAGATGATCATACAAGGGTCTGTTGGGTCTATTTGCTTAAAGAAAAATTAGAAGTTGAACATGTTTTCAAAAAATTCTATAACATGATTCTAACTCAGTTTGGCACTAAGATTCAAATTCTTAGAAGTGACAATGGTAGGGAATATTTTACTAAAACTCTAGGGAATCTTTTAGATGCTCAAGGCATAGTTCAACAAAGCTCATGTGTAGATACTCCACCACAAAACGTTATAGCCAAAAGAAAAAACAGGCATCTGTTTGAAATCACCCGGGCTTTACTATTTTCAACTGAAACACCAAAATATTTATGGGGAGATGCTCTTCTGCATGCTACATATTTAATGAACCGAATGTCGTCTAAAGCTTTAAAGTTTCAAACACCCATATATGTTTTAGAAAGTTCTTTTCCAAAGTCACGATTATTTTGTTTCATGCCATTAAAAGTTTTTGGTTGTACTGTGTTTATTAAGAACACCAATATCAACCTTGGCAAATTAGACCACAAAGCCCTAAAATAGTCAAATGTGTTTTTGTAGGAATCGCACCACATAAAAAGGGATTTAAATGTTTTCATCCAAACACGGGAAAAATGTTTGTTACCATGGATGTTAAGTTTTTTGAAAATATTCCTTTCTTTAAATCTCGTCTTCAGGGGGAGAATAAAAAAAAAAGACTTAAATTTTTTGGATCTAGTATTTCCAACTACATTTGTTACCATGGATGTAGATGTTCCAATAGAACCACGACTAGATCGAGAAAGTGAACATAATATTCCTCCTGAAGAAACTGAAGTACCATCTGAACCTCAACAAGTTACTCAAGAGGATTGTAGTGAAAAAGAAAAAAAAACAATTCGGAAAAGTGTATGAGCGAAGATTCCCTTCAAACAAAGAGTTCAACACAATCTCAGCACCTGATTCCGAACCGAGGAAGGAACCATCTCTTGGTAAGTCATGTGACCTGAATGTCCCAATAGCCTTGAGAAAAGAAAAACGTACATGTGTTAAATATCCTATGTCCAATTACATGTCTTGCTCAAAACTCTCACCAAAACTCTGTTGTCCAAAGTTCAAATTCCCAACACTATACAGGAAGCCCTTAAAAGTCCAGAGCGGAAAAAGGCTGTTCTAGAGGAATTGAGTGCTCTTGAGAAGAATCAGACGTGGCGTGTTGAAGATCTTCCGAAAGGTACTCCCACAGTTGGTTGTAAGTGGGTATTTACTCCAAAATTTAATGCTGATGGAGCCCTTGAAAGATATAAAGCAAGGCTGGCAGCCAAAGGTTTCACACAAACCTATGGCATTGATTATACAGAWACATTTGCTCCAGTTGCAAAGTTAAATACCATAAGGATTCTACTTTCAATAGCAGCAAATCTTGATTGGCCAATTAGGCAATTTGATGTGAAAAATGCCTTCTTGAATGGCAAACTAGAAGAAGAAGTTTATATGTTGCCACCACCAGGGTTTGAAAGTAACTTTGGCACAAAAGTGTGCAAATTAGAGAAAGCTTTGTATGGGCTTAAGAAATCCCCAAAGGCATGGTTTGCACATTTCACTCAAGTAGTCAACAGTCACGGATACAAACAGGCTCAATCTGATCATACTCTGTTCACTTGATTTTCCTCAAAAGGTAAAATTACAACCTTAATAGTTTATGTAGATGACATACTCCTCACAGGTAATGATCATGAGGAGATGGAAAGTATGAAGGATCGACTTGCTAAAGAGTTTGAAGTAAAGGACCTTGGAGAAATGAAATACTTTCTAGGTATGGAAGTTGCAAGGTCAAGTAAGGGCATTGTATTGTCACAAAGRAGATATGTTCTGGATCTTTTACAAGATACTGGAATGAGTGCATGTCAACCGACAGATACTCCAATTGACCCCAACAAAAGGTTGGATGGCATTACTAATGGGAGGCAGGTTGATATTCATCAATATCAACGGTTGGTTGGAAGATTGATTTACTAATCACATACACGGCCTGACATTGCTTTTGCGGTTAGAATGGTGAACCAATTTATGCATTGTCCTTATGAAGAGCATGAAGAAATTGTCCACAAAATTCTTAGATATTTAAATAGTTGTAGAGGTAAAGGACTACTCTTTAAAAAAAAAGAGACAATCGAACCATTGGAGCCTTCACTGATGCAAGTTAGGCAGACCCAAACA